TTTTCAACTTTTTGCAGGAATTTCAAATCAACAAAAAAAAAAAAACCGGTACCGGTACCAAAAAATAGGTACCGGAACCGGTACCGAAAGTGGCGGTACCGGAACCGGTGACACGGCGACCTTGCCGGTGACGTTGGCGGGTACCGGCGGTACCGTTGCCGGTGACGGTACCGTACCGGTACCGTGTCCACCCCTACACCAGCGGTCTAAGGCGTTTGTCGTCTAACATGATACGGAGTAGTATCTTTTTACCATACAATAAAATAAGAATGATATAATATTTTCCCTCCGTCTCAGAATATTCGTCTAGTTTTGACTTTTGGAACTGTTCATTTAAGCACTTTGACTCATAAAATTCGCTCAATGTGTAAGGCTAAATATAGTCATGTGTGATCTTGTTTGATTTGTCTTAACATATAGATTATTAATATATAATTTCTATAAGGCAATTGATATCTACACTCCACATTTTACTAGTTGCACTCCATTTTTTTTATTTTTTAAAAGATTAACAATTTTGCCCTTTCAATTACAAATACCTCATTTTCATCATCCCTTTACATCATTAATATTTATATTAACTATTTAAAAATATTTATAATTTTGAGGATTAAATTATACTCATTAATACTTATTTTTTAGGGAAATACTTATTTAACAAATTTCATAATATTGTTATAATTTTTGTTTGTGTATTTAGAAACACACCAAATAGTTATTTTAATTAGTGCACTGTATCATAAAGTCTTAAAATAAAATATACTATAATTAATTGAAAATTTTCAAAAGAAAAATATGTAATTTTATTAATTGTTAGAATATAGGCCCAACGCTAGAAGGGGGGTGAATAGCGTTTAAAACAAAATTGCATGAAATTAAAAGCGAGAGCGATAAAGTGAAGAGCGTAAGGAAGGAGCACACCGAATTTTATCTTGGTTCACCACAACGTGTGGCTAATCCAGCCTCCTGAGAGACTCTCTCGAGTTACTTTAACCCCGTTAAGCTTAAAGGTGCTCAACAAACCAATACAACTTGAGAACTCGAGTCACACGAGCCTCAACGCCTTTGCTCGGAGATACCGTACTCCAAGACTTCCCACGAAGGAACAAAGACTTCCTTCGAGTTTACAACAAGGGAACAACCTCCCTTAAAGTGTATAGAAACACTTAAACACTCAGAGATGAACATGCTTATTATAATTTTTTTAGAAAAAGACACAGAGCCACTTTTATATGAACTTAGGTCCAACAAATAAGCACTCTTCATTTTTCTCCATCTGTCTAAAAAAAATTTACATTTGAATTTTCTCAATCAAATTTTACATTTGACTTTTCTCAATCAAATTTTATATTGTTTTGATCACGTTTGAGAAAAATATATATATTTAGTTATAACTTAAATTTATCTTAGTTGGGTTTTTTGAAAAAAAATATTTTTTATACATCAAATTTTTTAAGTTGAAATATTTATGGCCAAAGTTTAGGGAGTTGATATATATATATATATGGGTGTGTGTGTGTGTGTATGTATGTAGACACACACACACACACACATATAATTTTGTAATATCACCTCTGGTTTCGTAGAACACTTGATACATTTTTAAAATGTACTAATTTTTTATTCCATGCCAATTTTCAAAAGTGTGGAAGAAAAATAGGATAATAACTCTTTGATAGAATTACGTATTCTTGTTTGGAAAATTTTCAATTAATTATAGTATATTTTATTTTATTTTAAGACTTTATGATACGGTGTACTAATTAAAATATATATTTGGTGTGTTTCTAAATACACAAACAAAAATTATAACAATATTATAAAATTTGTTAAATAAGTATTTCCCTAAAAAATAACTACTAATTAGTATAATATAATTTAATCCTCAATATTATAAATCTTGTTAAATAGTTAATATAAATATTAATGATGTAAAGGGATGATGAAAATGAGGTATTTGTAATTGAAAGGGCAAAATTGTCAATCTTTTAAAAAATAAAAAAAGTGGAGTGCAACTTGTAAAATGTGGAATGTAGATATCAATTGCCTTTCTATAATTTTTTTAATATACAAATTACGGAGTACAAGATAAAATAGATTAAAAAAGTGTATTGAATGGTGTGTAAAAATGAAAGTGGACAAATATTTTGGGATGTAGGTAGTATTACATTCTGATAAAATTATAACAACAACAACAACAACCCAGTTGGATCTCACTACAGTAGGGTCTGGGGAGGGTGTGTATACGCAGACCTTGCCCCTACTTGGAAGCAGGGAGGGTTTTTCCAAGAGATCCCCGCCTCAACCTGTACAAAAAATATGATAGGGTATACAGTATAGCATGGATAAAACACCAAGTACAATGAAAAGAAAGTTCTACAAGTATTAATAGAATATTCCAATCAAACACAACACACTACAAAAAACAAACTTCTGATAAAATTATAAGTGATTTAAAAAAGCGTGGACCACATTTTTCACGCATAAATATTTGTGTTCTTAAAAATGTGTTTGCACGTGTGGTGTTTATGCGCCGTCGGAGTTATTTTTGTGTGCGAGGATTAAAAAAAGGGAGTAAAAAGAAATATGGATTACTATATTTGTTGAGAAAATGAATATGGAAATGAGGTAAATTGATGGATCTTTAAAAGAAAAGAAACAAGCAACAAACACGATTTGATGGGCCGGGTATGAAATTCAGGACGTGACTCGTGAGTGAACGGTGATGGGCTCTCGTGGGAAATTAATAAGGTTTAGGGTTGCCCCATTCACCCACCGCCCAATCCAATCTTTTCACACTAAGGACGAGCATGCATAATGATCCAACCAGATTTACGGGAGTAACTGATAATCTCTGGTAAGTATACTCTTCTCTAGACCTGGCAATCGGGTCAATCGGTTCGAGTCCGGGTCGGGTCTTTTCGGTTCGGATCTAATCGGTTCCGGGTTTATCCGGGTTCGGATTTAATCGGTTCGGGTTTAATCGGATTCGAGTCTGAATCAGATCTGAATACATTCGGTTCAGGTTCGGTTCGGTTCGGATCATTTCGGGTGTTCAGATCTATTTCGGTTCTTCATTTTTCGGGTCAAATCGGGTTCGGTTCCGGGTCAGTTTTGCCAGGTCTACTCTTCTCGTCTCACAAAACATTTTTTATTTTGGCTTTTAAAGAATTTATGGAGAATGAGTCTTGGTGTTGACTTTCCAACAATATCTTTGGATGTAATGAGTAAAAATATAATGTGATATGTAGATTAATGGTGAAAAAGTATGATGTGATTGGTAGATTAAAAATGATTGATATGGGTGAAAATAATTTTTAACAGTAATTAAAAATAATCGGACTGATGAAAAAAAGGAGATTTTTTTTAAATAATGGATGGAGTAGTTTGACTCGGTGTGAGATTTTTCATCATAACAAATACTATACTAAAATACGTAGTATTAGTTTAATAATGCTACAACATATATTGATACTAGTATTTTGACCCGTGCGACGCACGGGGTCGAACAAATTTTTTGTCGATTCCAATTTTTTTCAATGTAATATATTTTTCGGAATCAAATAAAATATATTTCTAACACGATTTTTAATCAATGAACAACAACGACAAAGTAGAATAAATAATATTTGAGGAATTTAAAGTGTACTCAAAAAAATCATTTTTTAATTCCAATTTTTTCAAAGATTTTAGGGTACACAACATTTTTAGTAT